AAGAATATTACACATGCACACGCACCCACATTATCTGATGATCTGCCAAAAGTGCTAAATTGATGATGTACATGTAGAATAAAGGTATTGATTACATTGTTATGGTAATGAGATTACATTACAGGCCTTTTTTATAGCCCGACTCCGAGAAAGTGTGGAGTACCAAGATGGCAGCAGGTGCCTTCAGTTTTTTAGTCTATCAGTTATCCATTGAATAAACAGAGATTTTGTAAAACACTAGTAGTATCAGCTGGACTATTGGATGACATCACATCTCATCTCTGATTTTTCTCCAGTCTCTTGTGTATGCAATCGTGCCAGCTGTGTATGTATGTGAATTGCTGCAATTTAGGGCTTAGCCCCTCCCTGCTCATAAAATGTCACTTTCAGGCATAAAATGGCGGAAAGCACACACACTGGATCGAACCTTTCTCTAGCTGCCAGCGTTATAAAGTTTTAACTTACTTACATTTCCATGTTACCCTGATAGGCAGTAATATTTTTGCTGTGTATTTGTCTTTTGAAAATATACGCACAACAGCTGAGGTGTCCGAAGGGAGGGTAAAATCTGTGCAGGGTTGCAGCCAGAGTGGAGGTAGAGAGAGGCATGGCTCCATACATACAGATAATCCTCAGACAGTGCTCAAAGCCCCACCTAGGGGTAAAAGTAACTTTATTGCTCCTTTAACAAAATTTCTTTTAGCTTGAATATTTCTAATTGGCCTTTTGCAATAAATGCATTTAACCCACTCCCTTGGGGAGCAGTGGGCTGCCATTGTGGTGCGCACGGGGAGCAGTGTGAGGTTAAGGTTCTTAGTCTTACTAAGGCTCAGAGACCCAGAGCGGCAGTCTGTGGGAGTGGGACTCGAACTCAGAACCTCAGGATTCCAAGCTAAGCCAAGCTCTATGCCTTAACCACCAGGCCGCCACTCACCACAGTACTGTCAGCTCTCATCCTAGTAATAAATGCATACATACAATGATATCAAACTGGATTGGTCCACAAATTGAAAAGTTGTACAGCAATCTCTTCCATTGCTATCAGCAAATCAATATCAGCAGGTTTAATGCTAACAGGCTCATTGGTGTATTAATGGTAAAGCCAAATATACCTTAAATAAAAACTTTCACTATACACCAGTGGCCTTAAACTGCTACCAGAGGACAGGTGGTTCTGCACATTACCCAAAAAATACCACACTAATAATCGATGTTTTGCAGTGGACAACATCATGCTTGGGACAGCATGTGTTCTGGCACATTTCATAAAGAAAAAAATACATTGTTGATAAGATTATAAAAATGAAAGGGGTCAAAAATCAAAGTGAAAAACTCCCACTTTAGAAAATTAAACTGCTTATCAGGAGGTAAAGTAAGATTTCTTTTATGGAATGGACTGAAGGTCGAAAGGACCCCAGAACCTTAAATTCATTTAGACAATTTATGTGTGAGAATATGTCAAAATCAGAGCTGAGCTATGAATGTGACAAATTTTTCATACTGGAGATGCATTAAATTTTACACAACCAAAAATATTTTCTTCAAGAAAGCCTTTTCTGTGGGACATTTCTGTACACGTGTTAAATACTTATTTCAAGTGTCATTTCAATATATTGCCCATAATCAAACCTGTGGACTAATTTTCTTTATGTTTCTTTGCATGTTTGGACTACTTAGTATTTACCAACATGTTTTAAGTGTTATGTCACAGACTTTATTATAAATATTTAAATTGAGAGAAATATTTACATCTTTAATGTTTAAATAGGCAGTGTTCTGCTTAATTAGAGATATTGAACCTTAATAATCAAGCACAGCTATTTTAGAGGCTAAAAAAAATTATTTTTTTCATTAAGAAATATGTAAAGTTCTTTTGAGAGTAAATTAATCACAATAATGTCCTCAAAACTACGTAGATGAATTTTAAATTCATAGCATGATTCAAGTGATTACATATAATGAAGTGTTATATTATTAAAAGGTTATTAAAATGTTTGATGAACAGTATTTAAGACTGTACCTGAATGAATGGGTTTTAATTGATTTAGTCTATCTATCTATC